TTTGGTGTTAGATAAAATCTATTTAAAAAAACAAACAGAAAAAAACCCTTTTCCCTAGTCTTGATTTTGATGAAAAAGATACTCTTCGATCTTGAGTAGAAGTTGAGGGACTTGCAATTTGCAGGAAGTGTAGTCGCCTCGAGTCAGAGGTAAAATTAGAGAGAAAAAGCCCCCTATAGTTTGGTAACTTACTAAGACTGTAATATCCTTGGACACGATAAATTAAAATGTGTGCTTTTGACCAACTTTTTCAGAAAATCTACACCCGAACTTTTTTTGAACGGACATTAAAGGTGCTGAACCCTCAATCTCCCCTCACCCCACCAAAAAAAAAAGCATAACAAGAATCGATAAAAAGTGCCCAACAGGCGGGAAAATGTCGTTTTATTCGATTTCATTATTTTGGCGAGCACCCGATTTCACCATAATGCCATACCAGGGTTGTGGTGCCTGAGGTGGGAGCTGCAGCCTGCTGCCACCTAGTGTTTGCTTGGCCATGTATTTCCTCCAAGCTGCAAAGATGGCAATAACGAAGCCCTGAAGTATGGAGTCAGTTTCCTTATCGTGTTCACTGGTTAAACTATTTTTTTTCAGGGACTGAGAGTTTAACTTGTTTTATAATTTTCTGTATAGGTCTGTGGATCAAATTTGGGAAAGGTTTAACTGCACATGCTCAACCATAATTCTATTTTGTTACCAAAATGACTTAAATGCTTCTTGCATTTTTCTTCTATTCAGAATCCAAGCACACATCAACTCAATACATTTGCATGAGTGGTTAATCTTATGCTACAGATAAAATATGCGAGACGATTACTGCGATATTATCATTTCAAATCTTACCGGCGTCTCTGGTGTAGTGGTTAGGCGTTTTGCCTTCACACGCAGGAGAGAGAGAGTTTGATTCCCGAGTAGGAAGAAAATTTATCGAGTATCTTGGTCTCTCTGCTGGGATGTTGTATCCCTCTCAGCCTGGATTGGCCCGGACAGACAGGGTGGAGGCTCAACTCTTCAATGACGTTAATCGTGTCGATCGGGACGTAAAAATACCGATAGTAAAGATGATAAGTCTTAATTACAAGTCTTCGACGTGGAAGATTTGAAATTATAATAATTTTATCTCAGTAGGAATATTCTCTTTCACAGCAGATATATGAATACTACCGCTACTAAATTATTAAGCCACAACGTGCTTCAATGTGGGCAGTACTGAATTTGAATACTACAAAGAATCAGAATCCGTTGGCAATCTGAGGTTTTCTTTTGTCTTCGTTCTAGCAGCGAGACGTAGTTCTAGGTCACGTTTTGTTTTCGATAGTCTTAGGTCGAAGAACCAGAGACAATCTTTTTGTTTGTTTTATATCTGTTTTAGCTACCAACCGTTTGCACAAACAAGTTCTAGTTCAGTGGAGACCGATTGCTCCATACAATTTTGATAGTTTGTTTTGGGATCGATGTTTTGGGTTTTATTCTGTTACTTTAATTGTATGCTAGTCTTTTAAGAACATATTTTTTTTAATTGGGTGGTAAGGTGGAATGCAGGTGGGGTTGGGGAATGGGGAGGGGGTGGGGTGAAGGAGCTATCGTTAAGCAACTGTGTGGGTGAGTGGGTGGAGGTGACGAATAGGAGATGGAATTGAAAGGGATATAATAAGTCACTTCTTTCCCAAGTGGATGTCACGTGGTTTTGTCTTTCTTGTTGTGATCGTTGCTATTTCTTTTATTATTCTCTGACTTATTTCTAGAAAATGAGGACATACATCTCGTGGTACTGTGTATGCAAACGTTCTCAATATAAATTTAGAATAGAACATATATCATGTAATATATGATTATTATAAATACAATACTAGTTGAACTGATCAGCTTATCTCTGCAAATCCAGGCTTTCAGGAACGGGTATAGGTCAGACTTTAGGCATCTTTGTCCTCCTGTTGTTTGTCTAGTCATGAGTGAGCGTCTTTGATCACAATCGAGGCATGATTTATAAGGAAAATAAAATATTCTAGCGCTATAAAACATAATAACAGGACATTCATTTCGAGCGAAGAAACTACGGTCACCGGCCAGGCCCCAAGGCAGAGAAGAAATCAACGGAACCCCGAAGGACTAGGACGACTTAAAACGTGCTCAAGTTTGAACCTGAACACATTTAATGTTTGTTTTGCAGTGAAATTTGTAACCAAATGCGTCAAGCGATTGTTCCGAATGTTAGGAGCTAAGGAAGAATTTCCACATTAAACCCCGGTGGCCACACTTTCGCTATTAAGTGCGCGGTGCGCATGTCAAATGCCAAGTTCCCAGTGAAGCCAACATCTCTCATAAGAGACGCGGAGACAAAAATCGATCGCACGCTCCCTGTTTTTCGATCCCGAAAGTTCCTGAAAATCCATACCGTTCAATAGTCCCGCTTTCCTGCTGGTTCTATCACATGATCAAGGGAGATACCAAAAGGATAAATAATGTTCCCGCTGACCTGTTCTAGCACGCGACACAAACAATTGAGAAGGAGGGAATGGGAAAAGGGAGGGGGGTGTTGTTGGAAAAGGAGAGGGGTGGCAAGAAAGAAGGGAATCGAATGGAGGAAGATTTATGACGTGTAATGTGACTGACCAATCAGAGCTCAGGTTTACAACACCATTAATTATGTCTTAATATAAAACAGCTAGCCATTGCTGTCTTACACTATTTCAAACGCTATTCTATAAACCGAAACATACGATGCAGATACACCAAGAATAGGATGGTAATAAACTGGGCTGTCTTAAGCCTGACTTTTGTCGCGGTAAGTGGTAACGTGATAACAGTTGTAGAAACATCTGTTTCTAGTGCTACGTTTGAGATACTAAAAACAATTTAGAGGTCACGGGCATTTTTTTGTATCATAGAAAAAGCAGTTGCGAGCAGAAAACGTGAGTTCAAACTTCAGAGTGAAAGTTATTCTGTTGAGTCTTTCTGTCTCCAGCTGTCTGCTGGGAGGTGACCCCTCATCCAGCCCTGATGGTCCTGGCAAGCAGGAACGAAGCAACCTGCCTCCTAAATGATCTTAAGCGTAATAACAGTTCTAACTATTTTTATTAAAAGAATCCTAACATTGTAATATTATGTTAAGAAACTACTATTTGTCATTTACTAGAGGTGCACTAGATATGTTAAACAAGAGACACATCAAGAAACAACGAAAGTTAAAAGGCATTGGTTATATGTTTCCTAATAGTGGGTATATACTAGAGAACTAGAAGCATTTAATTCATGTTCGCTGCTCTCTTTTTGGAAGATACACCAACATTAGAATAAGATATTGAATTATTCAACAATGTAGAACAGAAAGTGAGTGTAATAACAAATCCATCTATTCGGCAATTTTCCAAACAGGAGTATTTAGCTTGCTGATTTTTTAAATGTATTATCTATTCATTCATTTATGTTAACTCACATTAATGCAGAAAAGTACAGAAAGTCCGTGTGAAATTTGCATATGTCAACAGAAAAAGTAACAGTTAACATCTAGATATATGTACTTGATTACAAACTATCAAACATTAATGTGGTACGTTATTTTGTCAGGAATGTGATGATGTTCGTGTATTAAAATTCCGAAATATAGCTTTGATTTTACATTTTAAAACTAGGTCTATAGTTTTCAAACATTGATTTCGGTGATTATGCGACATATTGTTGCTCCTCGCCATCCTGGACTCTAACCCTAAACGCGAATAAAAATAAATTTTATACATAAAGGACTGAATGTGTTCATGAAAATACAAAACCAGTAAGCAATTATTGTTCAACTGAATGATTAGCGGTCGGGCAATATAGAGGCGTCGATGGCATTTGATTTTTCGCAAGGCTTTGCAGTATTAAATCTGTTGATGGATGTAGCCTACAGGTTTTGTTTACTTCACAAATTGATTTCGCAATCATGATGAATTTGGTCAAAAGCTGGATATTATTCTTGAAGGAAAAAGTGTCTACAGTATTCACCTGATCCAGAATTAGAGCCTCAGAACGCCTTTTTCATTTTGTTTATCCCTAGATACTTAGTCCTGTAAAATACGCCCCCGCGCTCCTTCCCCCTTTTTGTGGCCTAACTCAGTCATAGAATTGGTTAGACGACCTACCACCAACTCTTAAGTTAGCTTTGAGCTTTCCACATTAACAAACGTTTGCTTGCTTTTGTGTAAACATTAGAATGGTTATTTTTAGTGTATTTAATGAGACCGTTTTAGGAAAAGGGAGTGAAGGAAGCTACGTGCCTCTTTGCACTACAACAGAGACAAGAAATTAGTGCTAGTGCCAGCGTCCCTGGTTAGTATCTTCGTTGTTGCTCACAGAAGATGTGAGTTCCATTCCAGTGAGAGGAAGTTCTAGGACAGAGTATCTACGCTGGTAATGATTGTATGCCGCGAAGAACTCAAGTCGGGTTGGCCTTGATTGGGAGGATCAAAACGAACCACCTTTAAAATTATCTAAATCATGTCGATGAGGGCGTAACATAAGTAAGTCCAGACATTCGGGTTTTCTTTTTTCTTTTTTGTTTGTTTTGTTTTTAAAAAACCCCGATACTCTAGCGGCTACAAATTCAACATTTTGTAAGAACAAAATGTCTTAAAGGAGTGCAATGCGTTTTATATTAACACGGCCTTTTCTTCTAGAACTTCTTTGTCACACAGTTGTCAACTTGAACATCTGGTAAGTGGGGTGTGCTACTTTGTTAGCATTTAACTTAAGCCTCAACATTTTCCAAGGCTTCTGACAATGGCATATCTTGTTTTTCACTAATATAACACATTTCATTTTTTTGTATATTCCTCAGCTATGTCGAGGTAAGTAGAATGGTATCTTACTTTTAGCTATTATGTACATTTGCGATGGTATTTGATGCTAGTGAAAGCTACACTGTAAATACATTTCTCATATTTACGCTCGTTGACTCTGCTTTTTTGGAGCATGCATGTCCATTCAATGAAATAGCTAAAGTTTTAAAAGTTTGTGTTCATTAATTTAGGAACTATCTTCATTCCGTGATTGTTTAACACTGCAAGGGTATCACAAAAGTTTCGAAAGGACCCGCAGCAGAAAGATGGAAAATATTCAATATGTCTGATGATTATCGAGAATATCATCGCGTTAACAAACCAAATTGTCATGTCCTTATATATTTTTTTCCTTTGAGAAAATTTAAAAAAAACCTATTCTCATTTCTTCAATAATTATGACTTAAGCCACTTTACAATTTTTCAAATAAAAAATAATGTATTGACACTTTTTAAAATTATATAGAAATATGCAGGAGTCATTACTGAATTCAATTCTGTATCAATTCACAAACGGCCCAAGTTTGACTTAGGTCATTTGTTCAGCACAATGACGGTATTATTATATAGCAGTATAGTAGTATTCTTTATTACAACAAAATCCCTCAATGGTAACAACTCAAAAAAAGTTAGATGTAATGTCTACTTTTAATGTTAATACCCAAGTCTCAACGGTGTCCTCTCAACACTAGGCTAGGTCCACTTTCGTACTTATACACTATTCAGGCCAGCTCTCACTTGCTTTTATCTTTTAGTCTTGCTCACCAGATGTGCTCTTTAAGTAACATTTTTCTTCATACTGACAGTTTTAACCATTGCCCACGGACTGTTTATGAATGATTTTTGTCTGTGGTTTAAGAGCTAGGGTACATTTTCTTAATCCGCGTTGGACAAAGCGTAAATGAGCATGAGTTATTTTTAAAAAGTCTTACTCAAAAATTTATTTAATCTGCCATGCCTGCAAAGATTAACTTTCCCTTCAGTAAGCTTGTTTTCCAGTACATTAAAATCGTTTTAAAATTCATGCATTTCATTTCACGTTCTATTGTATTATAACATTTACACATAAATATACTTTTTAGATAATTTTAACGAAAAAAAACTAAATAAAAATTGTACAATTTGTTTGCCAAAGGTGTAGTGGGCATTTTTTTTCACGACACATAGTGTTTATAATATTATACATAAAAGCACTTTCAGTTTGTATGTATGAATTTATTAATTTTTTAAATGGAATATGATGTTTACAATTTGTTTACCAAATGTGTAGTGAGCACACAGCTCACAGTAGGGGTAGACGGCTACAGAGGATGCATGCAGGAGAGCATTCGAAGGCGTCATTTCTTCCTGACGCCTGGCAGTTACAGCCCAGAGAGCATGAACACTGTCTACTGTAGACAAAGGTGTGGCATCTTCGAGTACGCTTACGCCGCGTTGTCTGAAGGTGAGGACTAACTATGACTAAACCATGCCTGATTCTTTTTTTTTTATTATAGGTGTTTTACGCCCCCTTCGACACAATTTAGACAATTTACGCGGCGGGTTCGACCCTTTCTTAATAATAACGATAAGATGAACTGGAATTTTCATCATCAATTTAAACGTACATACCCACACATATTATGCATACCCACATTCCATAGAAACTTATTATAATATACAAAAGCTAGTAGTATTCTTTTTTCCCAATAATTGTCTCTTATGTTTTGTTTGTCATTAGCATATTATTTAGAAGTCAAAAACTGAAATGCGTAAACACCGAGGTATATTTTAATATGTGAATATATGGAAGAAAAGCCTTTAACATTTTAAAAATCATTTAGAATCTGAACTCTCTCTCTCTCTCTCTCTCTCTCTCTCTCTCTCTCTCTCTCTCTCTCTCTCTCTCTCTCTCTCTCTCTCTCTCTGTGTGTGTGTGTGTGTGTGTGTGTGTGTGTGTGTGTGTGTGTGTCATGCACAGCTCACACAATACACATCACAGTACACCCCCATTTTTTGTCAACATGAACTCACGCCTAAAGAGGTGATTAGCTTTATCAAAAGGATGTATTACCTCATTACATCAATGAACAAACCATCGTTATTGTGAACACGTAATATATAGACAAACTGTACAACTCGATAAGTTTGTAAAACTCTCTTTTGTTACTGGTGAAGTGTAGAACTGATCTGGAGATAAAAGTAAAGAGGCTCCGTCTATAGTTGTGTGTGCAAGGGGAAAAGGAGGGGGGGGGGGATGTAGATAGTTTTCATGAAAAATATGTATTAGTTTATGTAAAAAAATAAGGATTGAACTCTAGATGAGGATAAGGAGGACGTGGAATAGATTTTAAAAAGGGCTAGTTAAAGCCAGCTTAAATGAAACATTCGGAAGAAAAAATGTTCTGCGACGAAGATAACCATGGCAACAAAAAAACAACAAAAAACAAAACGACAACGTGAAAAGGCGCAGCTAGAGAAAGAGAAGATAAGGAAGCATAGACTTGTATTCTACTTTCCTCAACTTTGCCGTCTGACGCAATTAATTTTCAGTTTGTAGCGCACAATTTGACTCATTCTGAAAGCAAATGAAGGACAGGGAGTGAAAGGTCGCGCACGCACTTGATTATGACGAGCCTAGTGTTTTACCCTTCATGTGGTACGTACACGTGAAACGAGGGTTTATTTTCAGTGAAAAGATCGG